GAAGTAAAATCGGCCTACAAACACTTGGTATGTTTTCATTTCTCTTTGCCTTCTCTAGGCCCTGGCCCCACCCTCCGCAAGAGATTTCATTTGTGGTGGCGGTACTCAAAAATATCTCCGACCCTATCTAGGCTCTCAAATGGCATCCAGACCGACAAAAATCACAAAAAGAATATGCAAAGGACCGTTTCGTCGAGGCAAGTCCACTCTCCACATAATTCACATATTCCCAACCTGACTCGGCTTTTTTTGTTTTCCCTATTTTTTTAATTCTTAGATTCACGAGGCCTACCAAACCCTGATGGACATGACCTCAACACCCTCTCCGATGCCAAGGAACGCGTCAAGTTTCACCTCGCCACCGTCAACCCCTGCATCGAAACCTTCCGAATTTTACTCTCAAAGTGCTGGAAGCACCAGTTCGTGGACTTCTTCAGGACCCCCATCCAACGCCTCCACCCCACGGACATCCACTGATGAGCTCCCTACTCCCAGAGCAAGTAAGCATGCCAGGACACATTCAAAGACATCGACCGATGGGTTCCGAAGGGCACGAACAAGAACCCTTTCCAGGGTGAAGAAGAGGTACGTTTTGTCGTCCGTCCTCATTGCGTCGGGTCGAAACTGATTCCCATTTACAGTGACAGGGCCCAGTTCACGCGCACAGAGTCATCCAGCAGCAATCACTCGCAAAACTCTCCCAAATCTCATCACCCAAGCCGCCATCATCATTCGAGCAGATCTCACAAATCTGATCGTTCAGAACCCTCCTCATCGGAGCCATCTCGCTCTTCGTCGGGCAAAGGGAGAGGGAGAACATCCTCTTCAAAGCATGCGCACTCTCATTCAGAGCGTTCTTCGAATCGTTCTGATAGATCTGACCGAGATGACCATTACCGACACCGCAGCCACCGACATCGCTCCCGTTCGCGGTCTCGCTCCCGTTCCCGTGACCGCTCCGAGCGCTCTGAACACTCGAGGCACTCCGACAAGGGGAAGGAGCGAGAGAAGGACAAGGGTAAGGAGACGAAGGTGGAGGAGCCCGAGGTTAAAAAGGAGAAAGCCGAGAAGAAGTCGACAAAGCCGCACAAAAAGACAGACAAAGAGAGAGAACCGTCATCTAAGGAGAAGACGGACAAGGTCGAGGAAGAAGTCGATGACCCTCCACCCCAGACTTCCGAACCTCCCCTTCGTCCGCCGATCGTTGGCATCCCACTGCGACCAAGTCGCGCTCCGGACACAAATAACTCGGATTGGATCTTCCCTCTTCCTCTTACTTTGGAGGAGCTTTACTCCGGCACGAATTACAGGTTCCAGATCACCAGGCAACTGCGGAACTCTCACAGCCCCGACCCACACCCAACATCTACTCCAAAGTCAACTCATTCTCCGCTCGATGGCGAGACGAGCACCTCCACGATCCACGTCAACGTCGACATCCCGCCTGGCGGCTACAAGAACATGACCCAGATGCGGTTCGAGGGTATCGGAAATCAGCGGAAATCCGATGGAACCTTCCAGGATATTGTCTTTGTCGTCCAGGAAGTCCTTCATGATCGCTTCATCAGAATCCAGGACGACCTTGTAGCTAGGATCGAACTGACGTGGGACGAAGCTCTTCAGAAGGAGGATGTCATCCTCGTCGATGGATTGGGTGGCGAGAAGGTTGAGGTTCCTATCCCAAAGGTCCCAGATGACAGCAAGGAGACCAGGATTCCAAAGGCTGGGATGCCGATCAGGAACGCCAAGGACGAGGTTACCGGTCGAGGCGATCTAGTCATCAGGCAAGTCTTTCTTTTACCCTGCTCTTTGTCAAAAACACTGACCCATCGAAACGCCACACAGATGGGAATTTGTTTTCCCCCAAAAGCAGTCGAGCTCGAAATGGCAGGCCCTGAAATCCAAGTTCAGCTGGCAATCGCCTAAAGCCTCTGCATCTTGAACCATCGGTTTCTGGGATGTCTCTTTAGGTCTTGTACGGGTCGAACGAGGGTGAATAAATCGCTTCGACGCTTCAACAAATGTGTCTTGCTGGTCGATTCGTGTTCCTTGCATTGCGATTCTCTCCCCTATGACCCTTAGCATCAAACCTATCCCTTTCCTCGGTTCCCTCCTATCTCCCTCCATCTTTCCTTCGTTTCTTTTCCCCGCGACCTGGTGTGTATACGGCCTATCTATACATAGTCGTTTTTCCACTTCTTCATTTCCGCTGCCCCACACATGCGGGAGTCATACTGGACATCAACTCCCCACGCCTTTCATGAACATATCACGACCACTCATACCGTGTATATACGCTGCATCCTTCATCTCTTTTCCGGTTTCTCAGTTCCATTCATCTCCCCCCATCTCATTTCATCTCATCCCATCGGCATCTGTTTCTCATCCATACTGTCTTCCACCTCTCACAAACTTATTCCAGTATTTTTCCCCACCCCTCCACCTTTCCAACAGATTTCTCTTTAATCCTGTATCGCAGTTCCTTTTCTCATTGTTCATTCTGTCTATAGCTGTCATCCCTGTACTAATGTGTACGTTTCTCTCCGTGGGGCCTTGGGGTCACCATCGTATTCTTCTTCGGTTTTTACATAGCTAGTGTAATGTAGTTCTTCCCCACGTAGTACTCACTGATTTCCTTGCAATCAATACATGTGCCGTTATCGATTACCAGCTCTATAAATTTCTTCCATTTGCTACACCGGGTGATGTGCGTGAAAGACGTCAAGGAAGGATGCTAAAAGTGTACTTTGTTAGTAGGTGGACGGGTTCAGGCCCATATACATCAGAAACATTGCTCGAAGCGTGGGGTACCGGCGGCAATGAATTTGAGGCGAATGTCAGCGGCAGTTTGCGATTCTGGTTGTTCGATCAGTATCGTCACCGTCCTCTACTTCGTTATGTCGCTTCCTCCAAACACCCATAAGGACGAGCCGTCAGTCCCAAAAAATCGACCACCGTTATCGATGTAGGTGAAAGCATATCAAAACATTTCGCACCACTGACGCGAAATGGGCACTAGTATGGGTCGTGAGGCCAACATCCGCTCGATAAAAGCTTTGGAAAAGCAAATCGAAGAGGGCGAGGGGGACCTAATCGGGCTCAAACGCGCCCGAAATTCGTTGTTGAACATATCCACCCGTGTGCCTCCTGAGATCCTGGGACGCATATTCGTTCGATGCCTCGTTCGGAATACGGACTACTCCCTGCGCTCTCCGTCACACTTTGACGGGTTGCGAAAGGGATCTTACAACTTCCTCCTCGTTTGCCACCACTGGTTCGAGGTTGCATCCCTCACCCCGGGGCTTTGGGACTTCTGGGGAAACACTTTACAGGACTGGAAGAAACGGTATCACCGCTCCAGATTTGTCCCCCTCGACTTGGTGTTGGATGGAAATAAATGTGACTCCTGGGAATCCTTCGATGAGTCCCTCCAGAATGCGGTCGGGGGTCGCGTCACGCGAGGGACCATACGACAAGTCCATCTAAACTCCCACGATATGAACACCCTGACCTCCATCATTTCGTCACTGACCCCCGACGACGAAGGTGCCCAGAACGAGAACATTGAATCGATCATTGTGCGGAACTGGGGACCTCATCCTGTGGATGTATCAAAGTTTTTGGCTCGGTCCCGCCTCTCGAAGTTACGTTTGCTCGACCTCTCTGGAAACGTTCGAATTTTGTCGTGGGACTTCCTGGCATTCCGAACTACACTTCTTACCGCCCTTATGCTTGGAATCAACGAACTCTCATCGTCCCCCTCCCTAACTACATCTCAGCTACTCTCCGTCCTTACCTCAAATCCCAATCTTCGAGAACTCAAGTTGCTCAATCTAGCCATCCCCAATGACACCGACGGGGCCACATTCCAGGTGCCGCTACGCAACTTGAATATGCTCTCTTTGACGGGAGACTTTCGTCACGTTCTTGGCTTGCTACGCCAATTGATACTCCCAGAAACTTTGGATAACATCCACCTGGCCGGGTTCAATTGCACAGTAGGGGATATTTCGCAAACCTTCGGACCGTACATGCGAAACTACTTCCAACGTGACGCCAGATTTCAAGATAGACTAGGACTTTATTCCTCCTCCTCTCCTACCTCCATCTCAATCGCCGTCAACGTCATATCCACCCACTTTATTGTGCTGATGCCGAAGCCACCGTTTGTGGTGTTCATGTTGCTCCTAGCCGACCAACCTCCACCAGAACCAGAGGAATAATTGTTCATGGACCTTGTCGCGCTCGTTCCCCGAGAACGCGTTGTATTCTTCGGCGTCAATGGCACCGCCCGCAAGAAACGGACGGAAGAACTATTTTCCATGATGCCGAACGTTGAAATGTTGCACCTTTCGGACGTGGAGGTGTCAAAAGGTTTCCTTCAGCCAAATCCAGACGGACCACACGCCAAGGCGAAACTGCTCCCTTCACTTCGATCTCTGAATCTAGAGAATGTTACACTGAACGACGACGATTGGGGTCACCTCACAACGTACTTGGGCCATCAAACCTCTGACAACCAGTCCATTTCGCTTGGGGTGCTCGGTGATACTCCACTTATGCGTCCAGAGGTGATGAGCGAAATTAGGGGTCTGGTTGAAGAGTTTACCTACAAACCAAATTCGGAGACGGAGGACAGTGAGCCTCCTTTCATTCAATAGATGGGGAGGATGAGGGGTGATTGCTGGTCAGTTGTGTTATCAGCAGTAGTTGATTGTTTTTTACCGGTGGCTTTCAATGAATGTATTCAGTATTGTAACCGTACACGAGGGTTTCTGACAAGTTATGGTGGCGAAACAATGCTTTCCTCCCGCCATGTAAGCCTCTCTGAGACCGCTGAATTGCTTCAAGTGAAGTGAAGATTGAACATTGATCGTCCACCCCACTCCTGTTGGCTCACCTCGCATCCAACTGTGGAGTGGGAAGAGAACCGGAGACGGAGTGTTAGACAATCGGTGCTAATACACAACACGAAGTTGTCCCTGTACCAGCGAAAAAAGAGGTCCTACCCGGATTCGAACCGGGGTTACGGGAAAGTGCTTTAGTAGTCAGAATCCCGTGTGATAACCGCTACACTATAGAACCTGTCGACACATCAGGTGCAAACTACGACCATGTTCATGTGATTCGTCGAGGCGAGGCGTTCGGGGAGTGGCATGAGGGAAATGAGCAGCAGTATTCCTACGCATGGATACCCGCCTCGGGCTAGTCCCCCGAGCATCCTGTGTTGAGAATTTGCGTTCGAAATACCAAAGAACTGGTTTCCCTGTCATTTTGGACAGCCGCGATTCTGACTTGGGGGATCGGCTGTTTGGCAGGCGCGACATAGGGGGTGATTTGAGGAGAGGAAACCAGATAGTGGCTGTGTTGCGTGGCCCGGGAGGCGGAGTGGAGATGATCAGCCTCTTCGGCTCAGAGGCTGAGTTGCTCTTGGTTCGTTTCCAACTCGTTCCGTAGCAGGGCCACAATCGATTTCCGCTCTGTAACGACCTCCTTTACGGTCCACTCTCCTTTCTTCTTCACGGCCAACTCATGCTTCCTTCAATCTCTACCTCCCTTATCTTCCTTCTCTCATTATCTTCATATTTTCGCGATACCTCCGCCCAGGATCCTTCCACCCCACGGTGCGCAACAATCCGTCTAATAAAACGCCCATTTTCACGCTTTTTTCAGGTGGGGTCAGGCACATGCTATCATCCAAGAGACCCTCTGGGTCTACGGTGGAAAAACCGACCGCTACAACCAATTTTCTTATACCTCTGCTCCAAACACCAACGATCTCTTTCGACTCGACCTTAGTCAATCTTTCGACCTCTCAAACCCCCCATGGCACATTCAAGGCGGCTGTGGAAACAACGCTAATTGTCAAGGTCCCCTCATGGCATTCCATTCACTCGCAGCTTACGACCCTGCCCATATGCTTATGTTCGGTGGACAACCTGATCCGAACTCTAATATCGTCCTTCCCGACAGACCGGACTCGGCATGGACGTTAGATGTTGAGAATCGCGATAATCCCTCATGGTTGAACGAACCGAAGGGTTGGGCAAACGAGCCGTCGAGGCGTATTTTCCATTCTGCTTCGTCTTCCGGGGGAAAGGTGTTTATTACTGGAGGCCAGAAGGCCGATGGTTCCCAGATCGCACTTAGCCAGCACGAGGTCTACGATTATAAGGGTCCAACTTTCACTACCTTACCGACCGCGGACGGGCCTCCAGACTTGTACGGTCACACCTCCCTTGTCCTACGGAACGGTTCTCTGCTCGTCTTCGGGGGCTATAGCCAATCCCAGGGTACCCTACTCCCATTCTCCACCATTTGGATCTTGGATACTTGGGCCGACACTTTCACATGGTCTCTGGCCCACGTCGACAACACTACTTTACCCCCTGCGAGACGCAACTTTGCCGCTGTCGTACTTTCAGATGACAGAATCCTGATCCACGGTGGATCCGATGCTGTTTTGCAGACGACTTATAGTGACGGTTGGATTCTGGATACGACCAAGGATCCTATGGTCTGGTCCCATGTATATCAACTCTCAGCTTTGGGCGCAAGGCGGGACCATATGGCTGTGGCGATGGGGTCGGTCGTCATCTTTGCATTTGGTGTGTCTTCTGTCCAACGGCTCTAATACACAGTTGCTGAGAGCGAGCATCAGGATATGGTCCAAGTGGTCCAGCCCCTACCCCGGTAATAGTGTATGATACATTGTCAGGAACCTGGCCCCCAACCTATGCACCACCGTCCTCCACACCGATCAATACCTTCGTTCCCACCCCGACGTCACAATCGAATGGCGTTCCTCCCTCAACCAGGACAAGCTCCAATACCAAAATCCCCATCCCAACTAAGAGCGGACATGGGGGCGCGCCAACCAGCAGCTCCCATATCACCGGGATTATTATCGGGGTCATCCTCGGCGCCCTTGCCCTCGTGGTTGTCTCAATCGTCACGCTGGTTGTTGCCCAACGTCGTCGCCCCCGCAACGACCGATTCCACATGATTTACCCCTCTGAAGATGATGAAAATCCACATGCGGCAGCCGCGATACCGGTAGCACAATCTGCCACAGCCCAACACCGCGTCCCCTTTTTTGGCTTCGGTATTATCGGAAGTCGTAATCCACCTCTGCGACGCGATATGCTCGCTGACGAGGACACGAGGCATTTTAATGACCATTCACACATGAGGGACGCAAGTGGTACAAGTTCATATATGGAGAAATCGATGTTACTCATGCGGGGCTCGTGGGCGTCTCTCCGTTCTGTCGGTGCACTGTTCGGCGTCAATACCCTGGCGTCTAGACGAGCGCCGAGTAACGGCAGTTCATTCCAGGATTCCAGAAACAGTCCGATAAGGGAGAAAGATCCGTTTTCTGACCAAACTGCTTTCATACCCTCACATGAAGGAATCGCTCCCAGGCCTAAAGGCGGATCGATAGAATCATCAGAATGGTCCTTGCTCGCTTCCCAGACTCATCACGACTACCGAGATCCCTTCGAGGATGACGAGGTTGGTCATTATCAAGACGGCGACGCGGACGCCCATTCCCTCAGGAGTGGCGAACTAGATCTAGACCACACGTTGAACGAGAACCCACCGCAATCCCTCCTGAGTCAGCGTTATCTGGGGAACAACCTTCAGACTACCGTGAATGATGTCGCTATGGGCGCTTTGCCGACCGTTCTCGAGGCGCCTTCATATCGGAGCTCAGGACCGTCCTCGGAATCAGACCCGTACCTGCGGACTCCTTTCAGCTCTGCGGGCCGATCTCAGGGAGAGGTGATGGCCAACCCGGGGACGAACCCTTCATGGAGTCTCAGTAACAGCAGTGGACATGACTACGACTCCCCAGCTCGACACGGTCAACCCAGCCCGCCTATACCAACGAAACTCTCATTAATCGACGCGAATCCAACCCCCTATCAGCCTTTGAGGAGATCGGACAGTTGGTGGTCGAGGTTCGCCAAATCTGCGTTCCTGGATCGTCGGTCGAGCGATGCTAGTAGTCATGGGGTGGGAGGGAGTTTCTCCGGTAAACCATCCACGGGTTCGCTCGTTAGTGAGTTCCGAGATCCGAATCCTGCGCCGAAGCTCGTTGCGATCGAAGAGAGCTCGCCAGAGTCGCTACGGGACCCATCAAGGCAAGGTAGTGGGGACTCGAAGCTTCCTGATAATCACCTTCATTACGAGGACGATGGCTCTCAAGAGGCGAAGCTGAAGCGGTCTGCGACAACGTCTCACGAACGAGTCTTCTCCAACACTGCACACGGAAAGTCGATCTCTAGTTTGCAGACTACTAACACGGAAGCGCTCGAGAGGATCGGTGGAATGGACATCGTACAACGTGAGGTCACAGAATCCTCAACGAACTCTTGGGGTGCGGGAGAAGAACCGATCAGAATTGTCACCAGTTCGACGGAGTTTGGAGCTCGACACCACGAGAACGATGGGTCTCTGAACGCTAGGATCGTAATGCCAACGAAACCGCCGATCGCTACTAGGCGCAAAACACCGAGCGGTGGCGGTGGGATCGTTGCGTCAAGAATAAAAGCATTCGAGAATATGGAGTCGAAGAGGGAGACGGTTAAGTACGGACTTGCGCCGCGTCAATCGTTGTTCGTCGCGAACCCCGATTCGAAGAAAACTGGCTCGTTGGATCCTGCCTGACGAGTCGGATTGGGGCTAACACTACCCCTCCCATTGCATTCGACGTGGACCTTATCCCCATCATCCTAGTCTCATCGTTTTCCACGGACACTTCTCTGTTTCTCGATACATTAAGGTATTCCGCTCCCTTCCTGTCGGTCGGTTCCTCTGCCCTGCCACATCATTTACGCATGATCCCGCTCCATCTACCCTTATATTTAACTCACGACCATGGACACCCCCACCTACTCGTACATTCCGTATAACTAACTCAGGTGTATTCCTCCTTCGCTTTCTGCCTCGATTGGTTTTCTCCTCTCCTTTTCTCTGTATTCGAATTCACGACCACCTGTTACGACCCTCCCACGCACGCATCTGATTCGTGTTCTTGTTGTTTGTCTGTAGTAGCCCTGTATGTCGATGCGATATCTGCGTACATCATCCCTGTTGTGTTCACTTCGTGTGTCATGACCACGAGGCCTTTAACCCAATATGCCCAAACCCTTGATTATCGGTTTGTTTTCTGGTGGGTCCTGTGGGAAAAACATAAGACCCTGACTTTGATCTCATCGCGTCCTGGATGGTCGATCGTGGGATGAATGATGGTTTTTTCTCTCTCGGTCCTATGCCCTTGGGACCCTGTTTGTTTGGTCTCCGACGAGTCCAGAACTGCCAGGGGTTGATGTCGGTCGTTATCATTTGTGGGGTTGCCACTTGACATCTTGATCCATCCAATGCGTGGTGGAACCTGCTGAACCTTCTCCTAACTCTAGAAAGGAAAGCTAAAGGAGAAAACGTGTGAGGAATTTCACCGTGGATCCATCGCGTATCAGGTCTTTGAGCGGAAGGTAGCACAAAGGCAGGAAGTGGTGGTGAAAGGTCCCGTCAAGGTACGCATTCTTGTTTTTGATTTTTTCCGAATTGCTTTCAGTCCCCCTGTGGGAAACAAGTCATCGAACCTAGGTCGGGCCCAGGCGTCCCCCCCCCTCCCCTTCCCAAGTCCTGACTGGGATATTTACCGACATATGCGATCCATCCGTCATCCGTAACGACCGATCGCGATCGCATGCAGGATGATCCAGGCTGAATCCAGCGTAGCAACTCACAGAGGTACAGGAACAGGCGGAATTAGAGAGATAAGTTGAACGCGGGTAACCATAAGCAACGTCGACAAGGTGAGTGGAGTACGCGGGTATTTTTCAGCGATGATCCCTGGGAGAGAGATCCTGGGAAATCCTCATACGGGGTACGACGTATGGGTGTCTGCTTTAACGATGATACATGCGGTATGGTTATCGGATAAATAAATATCGCCCTTGGGTAGCGAGATGATAGGGCTGGTTGTACCTAGCACGAGTAGGGAGGATGTCAATTCGTCCGGCTAATCCGTTGAAGCGAGTTGACAAGTTGAAAATCCCACAAACATTTCAAGC